TAGCTTAGCCTCGTGTTTGCTCAGATTCCAAATCTTCAAAATGCCGTTTAATGATGCTACAGTTAAATAATGCCCTAAAAAATGTTGTATAATATTTATAATACAGTATAATATTTATAATACAGTAATAAGAGAAACCCAGGTCAAACAATTAAACGAGCTATAAATGTGACAATGCAAAATTTATTATTTAGCAATATAATTTTCCAGATACATTTCAACTATACTTAGTCTTCATCCAGTTGCAGAAATATAATTACTTCATATAACAAAAATTAAATTAACATATTTAAAGGATCATTTCAAATATTTGTTTGGTAAAAAACGAATTGTCTAGAGCGATAGTTATTAAAGGACACACAATGATGTTTCCGAACGTCTCTCCATACATATAAAGGAAGAAGATTCTCCAAATCATATGAAATGGTTGACAATGATCTATGCAGTTCATCCAAGTCTGTGTAAGTTTAAAATTTCTATCTTCAGCAACTGTTTTCGAAAATTATCGTAAACATTATTAAGTTTCATTTTAGGTTTATAATAGACCAGAATAAAGTTTTACTTTCGATATCTGTTGTAGATGAGATGGCATGACCCCATGCAATTTACAAGATTTTAGAAACTGTAGTTGAGATGTAATTATAATTAAGTCGATCCAACAGTTCAATATTATCACATCTAATTATAGCTCGTTTAATTGTTTGATCTGGATTACTATTTATTAATTTTTTTGAAAGTTATACAAGCGTTAAAGAATTGTTTGTAATTTATGTTTTAATGGTAATAAAAAGTATTTTGTTGTTAAAATTTTAGGTGATAAGAAAAACTCACGACACTTTATGTCAATTAAAGATTTTTACCTGTCAATTCCATTGTGATTGGTTCGCCCTCCTCCGGTAAAGTGGGAAGTGTCTGAATAATAGATCCTTCTATGGATCTCAACTGAATGATCGTTGGAGTCAACACGATCAATGTGTGTTCGTAGATCAATATCTTTTCCGTATCGCAGTTGAAGGTTGTCAATACATTCGTATTAAGATTGGCACCTTTATTAATACAATTGACAACAATTTGTCTTCCAGAAGAGACAACGATGTATTCTTTTGATACAGCGATAATCTGCACTTGAATCTCCGTTTTTAGAATATACGTCTGTTCATCCATCTCGAGTAGAATCTGTGTCGGAGTGAGCTGGCTCGCGCAAACACCATCATTGTACACGGCGCACATTGGCTGTTGATGCAAGATGAATACATTGGTGATACAGTTAACAGCCAGGAGAGAATTCCGTGATAAACTAACACCCCATTCCAGTTGCTTTACTGTGCCGTGAATCGCGCAGGACTCTGGGATATTCGGCCAAGAATTCTCATCGCAATCAAGCACACATTTTCGCTTCCATAAGTAGATTGTACCTAGATTGGTGCCGGCGGCCAAAGTGTCTGAGAACCGCGGAATGTTTTTTAATCCATTGTCTTCAAATTTACTTTAATGGATATTATGTTATGGACAAAGTCCGCTTAATGGGCAATGTCGGCATTGCCTGGGCCGTGTTAACATTGCACAACGCGATTGGACAAAATCCGATAAAATGACTTATTAGCGAACATGGCTCGATTTGATGTGAATAAAATCAATACTGTCCACCCAGCGGTGGCAATGTCAGCAATCATTATTTCATTGCGGACTTTGTCCAGTTCCAAGTGGACAATATCAACACTGCTAAATCTATATGTGCTAAACTGCATTAGATGAATGGAGCCAGTAGTATAATAAATTTCTCAATTTTTAAGAAATCATTTATAGTGACCGTAACCGTATGCCGTAATCTGTAAGAATTGACTAATCATAGTCGAGCATTTCCCTCCTACAATCAAATGAGAGGAATATTTGACTGCCACGCAACATTGCGATGTGAGCACATTTTCATGCTCTACGCCGACATACATATGCATTTTAAGTACACGTCGTTGTAATGTAAGATCTAACTTATAAATAAATAAGGTTTATGTTTACGAGGGAAGGAGGAAAACATGCATGTGAGCACATTTTCATGCTCTACGCCGACATACATATGCATTTTAAGTACACGTTGTTGTAATGTAAGATCTAACTTATAAATAAATAAGGTTTATGTTTACGAGGGAAGGAGGAAAACCCTCCGGACACACGGTGTGTAAATGCCACTACTAAAGTATTGATACATGTTTATCAGGAAATATTAGTCCGTATACTTCAATTCTAATCAATTCTAAGCCGAGTAAGTCTGATTTAAAATTTCGAAAGCACATTGATGTCTTACCATTTGCCTTGCAAAATGCCAAGCTAGTACATATTTCCTGAGGAGTGGCGACATTTCCATTGGATGAATCCGGAGGCGACAGGATGTATGTATCGCCTGTGTGAATATCCCAGCACCGTACAGCGAGCTCTCCTGTGAGCACGGCCAACGTGTTTCTGCTAATCCAACATAAAGTGGTACTAGTGATACGTGATGTATCACTTCTGCCACTTAGTTTTACCTGAAATAAGTATAAGTATTGAATATAATATAATAATCTCTTGGTAATAAAGTAAAATTGCTCTGAGAAGGTGGGGTAGATCTCGCTCTGCGTGGAAAGTCATTACTTAAGTAGGGAAAAGGTTCTGGAAGATGAGATAGGATCTCAATATTGTATATAGCAGAAATAAGACGTTACTTTTTAAATCTTTTCTTGTTAGTAACTTTTTAACGAATAACGAGTGCCCTATGCTCAATGCTATTATTTTTTACATTTCTTCTCTTGATGGATGACGATTCCATTTGCTACCATAATATTAAATAATTATTTATTATATAGAGTAGCTGATAAAGATCATAATAATACTTAAGGGTAGATTGTTTTATTTTGAAATAAAAATCCTAATACCAAAATATCGAAGTTATAAACTAATTTTTGAATTGCGAGCATTTAAAACTAGTGAATCAAATCTCCTAAAATTCGCGCGTTCAAGTATCGTTGGTATTGTGCCACACCTGAATGCACAAATTAAACCCTATATATTTTCATGAATAAAATTTCTCGGAAAATTGAACCTGTACAATACATAATCAATAATATTGATGCAGAATTTGAATTTGTCATGTACAGTATTCTTAAATTTTGAATAGAAACAACATGTAGATATAGCAGTGATAGAACTCAATGGCATAAACCTTTGTCAATTCGGTGAGCTCTCCAGTGATTGAATCTGCTTGAAAGTGCCCGATGTTCAATCCTTCTGTCATAACAATGATAGAATCTCTGTTTTGATGATACAATAAGCAGTGCAACACTGCACCATCAGTACTAAGAACTTCCTTGCATTGTCCTTGAACGTCAACAAAGTATATGATACCATTTACAGTGCCAATATAAAATGAATGATTGTCCCGTTGTACTGGAACTGCTGTTGGTGCAGCTGTTCTTGGACGCCAGGAACTGAACATATCCAAGGCTCTCTCATCACCAGTCACTGTTGCCTTTGCCAAACCACTATAAACAATTAATTGACCAATCAATATCCAATCAAATAATAAAGAAAGAATATCAAATGTTAGTCTAATCATCTGTAAGTTTTACTTAAAATAGCTTCTTTGAAATTCAGTACTTTTTTATTTCTATTGTATTAACTTGCAATAATTATGAAATAATCTATATTATTAGAAAAATAATACAAGTTGTTTTTTTGTATAATTTAACTTGTTTTTACTTATAAGTTGTACCTAATATCAACAACTGGTTTTGGTGGAACTGTCCTAAATGCAATTTGTGAAAAAGATTCTTTTAGTTCATGATGAAATGTCATGAATAGCTGTCCTCTGGAGTCTATCTTCCATCCAACTATAGATCCACCAGTATCTGCAGATACTAAGCAACCACCATACTGGCTCCATTGCAGAATTGTGATGATATCTCGATGAGGGGTTACTATTACATTGAACTCCTGAGTTCCAGTGTCCCCTGGCCATACCTAATAATAATTTAATATATTTTTTATCTCACAAAAGACTTATCTCCTGTAGCTCAAAATATTGCAATACTAACTCGTAAATCTCCGTTTTCCCATCCTGCCGCTAGCCACGTCTTCTCTGGATGCCAGCCAAGAGAGGTGACTTGTGCCACTGTGTGTCCCGGTGATTCGACATCCTGCACGAGTTCACCTTGATCATCATAGATGATTACAAAGCCACCTTTGTCTTGAGAATACGCAGCAACAGCTAATAAAGGATAGTTATTGTGCCAAGTTGCAAGAGTGCTTATTGAAGCACTTTCAGGATTTTGCACCCGTATGTCAAAATACAAAGTCATTGTTTCAACATATCAGAGTATACACTCATACATTTAATTAAAATTTACCATTATATGAATTAGTATAAATAAGCGTAATCATACATACTATACACTCGTTTCAAAAAATATATTTCACATTATTAAAGCACTTAAAACACAAATAAAACAATTTTTTCTTAAATTGATGGAATGCAATTAATCCCTGTTTCTTCTAATCTATACATATTTATGTTGTTGACAGTTACCATCAGTTGCCTTGGAGACTGAAACTGGAAACACAATGGCCGCCGGACAAAGCTGTCAGTCTGCTCGCCGAGCGATTGAATGTGATTGGTTGGATCTATAAGTAACAACTAATCATATTCATTTGCTCGGCAAGCAGGCTAGCCACTTTGAACTCCACCAATGCGAAGGAATAGCGATAGCGATAGAAATAACTAGAGTCCCTGTAATAATGCTGGATTCACACTGCATCCGATTTTCGTCGTATGACGCTCTTCAACCAATCAGAAAACAGAATTCCGACGATACGAAGCAAAATCCATCGGAATCCTGTTTTCTGATTGGTTGCAGATCGTCGTACGACGCAAATCGGATGCACTGTGAATCCAGCAAAAGGCTTCTCTTGCATGCTCGATATCGTGGTCGCATCCAGACTATTCCAGACAGATGTCGCTCCTGTATTCACCGCGATCGCGATGACGCTTTCCTCTGCCGGCGACAGGCGACACGAGGCCGACGAGGCGTCGGCAGTGACCGGCAGGCTGCGTTGGTTGGTGTCCGTGAACGGTTCTTACGGCACTACGGCGTACCGAAGTAACCGAAGTGCGTTGGAAACGCAGCAGGCCCGTGAGAACATTGAAAATTGAAAAGAGAGTAAACGAGAGCACAAAGCATTCAGGGTGATTCAAGGTGTCATCCTACGTATTGATGGTTCCTCTAGACCGCATCGCACCACTCCCTCTCCCATCATTGTGCTCTCGCCATTGCTCGCAATTGCTCGCTGCGTTTCTTCTCAATCCGCCGCGATTGACATTTTGACAACGGTACCTCCGCTCGATCGATCACCATTGATCACGTTTTCACATTTTTTCCACCCGATCGGAAAGAGCAAGTTTACACTTGCTTACGCTCCTATTCTCTCCCAAGGTCCACTCTTTTCCATGTCAACAACACGCGCGTTTCTGCCAAGGCCAGCAGCGAGTTACACTCCTCACGTCGTCGCTGTCATCCTCGAAAAATTGTTGTTATCGTACACGTCGCATTCGCGCCACTGGGGAATCTCGAGGATCGCCGACGGCATCGAGTGTCGAGACTGTCGGGAGTCGCGAAGGAGAGGGACGTCGTGCGATCAGGTCGACGACATCGCTCCTACCAACCTGAGATGAGCGACCATGGCTGCATACATTTAAATAATTTTAAAGCAGCAAAAGGTATCCAACCGTATAAAGTGATACACTCGTTTTTTGTGACCAGTACATCGACCGAGGCACGCGTCAGGAAGGTACGCCAGTCTTTTTCTCGCGTCCTATTCGTGGTCAAGGTTCTTTGTCACGCAAGTTTCGGGAGAGAGAGAGAGAGAGAGAGAGAGAGAGAGAGAGAAAGAGAGAGAGATCTTTTACCTTGCTTTTCTGCATTTTGCTTTCACATTTCCACGAGCTATGTTTATACCGTGTACTTATTTAGACCGTGGCCTATACAAGATGTCATCCTTGTTTATCCTGTAAGTTAAACAAAAACACCTATTGTATAAGTCGTGGACTAAGCGCATGGTGTAAATGTAGCTATTCTCTCTCTCTCTCTCTCTCTCTCTCTCTCTCTCTCTCTCTCTCTCTCTCTCTCTGTCTGTCTGTCTGTCTGTCTGTCTGTCTGTCTGTCTGTCTGTCTGTCTGTCTCTCTGTCTCTGTCTCTCTTCATTCCGTTATGCCTCTTTCTGTATACATACATTTAAAGGGTTATTTAAAGTGCAGCCACAATAGAATGAAGATTTTAACTTATCAGATATTGGATACACCGGAAAACATACAATTTCTAATAGGTTGGAATCGTTATTCTTTATTCCTTCTATTGTAGCTGTATCATTTATACTGGCCATAATATCCGTAATCTGTAAGAATTTACCAATCATAATCGGTGAATTTTATAACATACTGGAGCGAGTCATGAAAGAGTAGAGGTGTCTCATATATTTGATATTTACGCGCCTACCTCACAAATAGTCGATATCGATACACTAACACTTACATTATTTGAAAATTACCCTTTAGGTAAAACAGGAACAATTTTTTATAAATGTTCAGTTTGAAAAAGCCTTAAAAATTTTTAACCGATATTTTGCAAAATATGAAATGAAAATGAAATTATTTTACCGAGCATGCTCAATATTACGCATATCTATAAATTTTAAAATAATTACTTTAAATTTAAATATTGTTTAAAGTTTAGGTTTACTTAAAAGTAGGTTTACTCATTTGTTTAATAAATAAGATTATATGTAAACATAAAACGATTAATATTAGGGATTTTATTTTGCAGGCTGTGAGTTGTTTATGTCACACATGTAAAACTTATAAGGATCGCCTACATTCTTGTCTTCATTGTATATTTTTTGGCTGCTATGTAAAAGGTCACATACAAGAGCATGCAAAAACGAAGAAACATTTTTTAGGTAATGGGATATTTTTCAGTTTAGATCTATTACATGCATTCAAATATTTTGTTAAAAATAAATATTATATAAATAAATAAAATTATATAACGTGAGTCTTTTATACATATATAATAGTTTCATAGTTAATCAATTGCCTATTTTTATATCGTTTTATTTGTTCCATCTTATCGCAGCCGTTGATCTGTGTTACGGGAATATTTTGTGCTTCCAATGCGGTGATTATGTATACGATAGAGAGTTGTTAAAAGTAGCAAAAACGCAATGGAGCGAGTTGGCAAAATCCTTGAGCTTCGGGGAATTTTATCGTGCATGGGAACCCACGCAGACGGAGGCGGAGTTGCTGAGAAATCATCCGCGCCGAAGACGCGTTGTAGAAAATTCCACTATAGGTATTGAACAAATTCTTAAGCTTATTGTTAGTTCAATTTCTAGGTCACATTGTATAAGTTAAATAAATTTTATACACAAATGCAAATAATGTTATAATATTATCTTCAGAAAAATATAATTTGACAATAATGATTCAAATATTTTTTGTAGAATAATGTAAAAATTAATGCTATTTTCAGGTTTAAGGGGACTCATCAATCTTGGAAATACTTGTTTCGTAAATTGCATCGTACAGGCGCTTATTCACACTCCACTGTTACGCGACTACTTCCTTGCTGACCGTCATCACTGCCCGCAACCGAGTCTCTGTTTGGTCTGCGAGGTATCCCATTTGTTCCAGGAGTTCTATTCCGGCAACAAAGCTCCATTGACGCTTCACAAACTTCTCCATCTGATTTGGACCCACGTCAGACATCTGGCAGGCTATGAGCAGCAGGATGCCCATGAATTCTTCATTGCTACACTGGATGTCCTTCATAAACACTGCGAAGCCACTACGATACTGGTCAAAGACAACCCTCATCACTGCAAGTGTATCATCGATCAAATATTTACTGGGTGCCTTCAAAGTGATGTTGTTTGTCAGGCTTGCAAGTACGTTAGTCTCTAGATCTCTCTAAGAAGGTACTTAATAGATAGAGAAGAATGTGTATCATGTAGAAGCTATAAAGTATTTAGGTACATTAAAAAGCAATTAAATAATATGGTAAATACATAGGTTACTTTATATAGAAATGATTATTACATAATATTATATCAGATTAAGCAGGATTTCGATTGACCACAATGTTACGATTACATAGCGGCTAGAGCTTTTTCACTGGTCGAGTGCTGTTAGTAATTTGTGTCTAATTGTAACGTGGTTAATCGATACTCGCCAGATTAATACAAAACTTCTCAAATACAATACATTGTAAAAATAACCTGTTTAACATAACAAGAATTTTTATTCAGGCTTAGCTCTGTTATTCTTCATTTCCTTTTCAGTGGAGTGTCTACTACAATAGATCCATTTTGGGACATATCTTTAGATCTAACTTCGGCAGCTAGTACCTCTGGTTCTAATACACCCGGGCCACCCACTTCCTTGCTAGATTGTCTGGAAAAATTCACCAGAGCCGAGCATTTAGGTTCTAGTGCAAAGATCAAATGTAGCAACTGTGAAACTTACCAAGAAAGCACAAAGCAATTAACGATGAAACAATTGCCGATCGTAGCAATCTTTCATCTAAAGCGCTTTGAGCACTTCATAATCCAGGATAAGATTTTTAAAAAGAAGATCTCTACATTTATCTCGTTTCCGGAACAACTAGATATGACGCCATTCATGTCGCATAGACGCAATGGTAACAACAACAGCGCTATGCTGAATGGTTTGTCGAAAAACGGAGAGGATATGAGTTTCAGTGACAATAGGTAGTGATATCTCTTGAATTATAATTTTTTTCTGTTTCTGGATAACCAACATATCGTTATTTCAAAAGAAATCTACATTGAATTAAAATATGATTGCTGATAATAGGTACTCTCTGTTTGCCGTAATAAATCATGAGGGTTCTTTAGAGACTGGGCATTATACCGCTTTCATCAGGCAACAGAGAGATCAATGGTTCAAGTGCAATGATCATTTGATTACACGGGCCAAGTTGAAGGATGTCTTGACTAGCGAAGGGTAAGATAAAGTAGGGCGATACTGAAAGTGAATGAGAATCACCTGGATTTAGATTTTTTATTACAATTTCTCAACAAATACGTTGAAAAGAAGAAGATATGAATCGTTCTCTCGGTCGCTAAATAAATTTGTACTTTTCAGGTATCTCCTGTTTTATCACAAGCAAATTTTGGAATATGGATAAAATAATAAAGTCTGAAACAGAAAAGAAGATGTGAATCAAGTCATGTAATTAATTTATTTAACAAAGAATTTTTAAATCGCTGCTGAAATTAAACGTCAGTGACACTTTATGTTTATCAAATATAAATTATTGTCACTGTCGCTTTATAATTTTCGTTGGCGCCTTTTGTATTCAATCAGGTATGTCGTCTGACACTCGACATCTACATGAATGTAATGTAAACGTAGATATTAAGATTAGCTCAATTTTTTTAAATCGACCGATCGTAATTTTTGTATACTTGACCATTGTTATACCCTTGTTCTGCAGAGACAAATGTTGCGCGCGCGCGCGCGCGCGCACACACACACACACACACACACACACACACACACACACACACACACACACACACACACACCAAGCGCATGGACCACGTCGTGCGCGTCGAATCGACGCGATTTCGAGTTCTCTCTTTTTTATGTTATTCTTTCTGTATGTTCCGGATGGTAGGACGTTGAAATTAATCCAGCTCTTTCACTCTTCACTTTCAATAGCCTACTACTCCAAAAAACATGGTAGAAAGAATACAAAACATTTTTATTTATCGTGAAATGACGATTTAAGAGTTAGAAAAAGTTTAAGCAAGCTTTCCTACAGGCATGTTTAGATCATCATAGTAAACATTTTTATTTATTGCAATAATTAAAAAATTAATTCTATCTTATAATCTACGTACCATCGATGGAATGATTAAAAAATATTCCTTCCTATTAAAAAAAAATCTTTATTTAATGGTAATAAAAAAATTAAAGACACATTTACTAAAAGTCATCAAAGTATGTCTTTTATTTATCGTACAATTTTGATAATAGCTGTCTTCCTCCTATCTCTAATCGTTTTCGGAAAAAAAAACAAACTTTTTATCAGACCCATCCTGCACACACTATACGCACGCACGCACGCACGCATACATGCACACACACGCACACTATAACGCCAGGAATGGGCCTCGTATATATTTCCTTTTTAATTTCTGCTCTTGCCAGCAAAATGTTATATTCAATCTTTAAAAGATCATACCAGAGCAAAACGTGATATTGAGTTTAATCTCGGATTTTCTAATATATCCAATATATTATTAATTAATTTACAAGAGTGAGAAAACGAGAATTTGTATATTTTCTATATTTACGAATTAGGCTTCCGAATGATTGCAGTTAATATTAATTAATAAATATTATCGCGGTGCAGAACAATTGAATAAAATCTTGTTCACAGAAAGACAAATCGATCTCTTTTTGTATTAAGGAAAATAAAGTTTTTGAACTAGTATTCTGAACTGGAATTCAGTATTTCATACGAAACAATTTGATATTTTTCAGTGCGTGATGTATAACTGTATACTGATATAATGTGATATAATTTATCTAATATCACCGACGAGATACTATTATTAACGACCGCCAGTCTTACGGAAGTCGCGTGATTGTTAAAATGTAAGTGATTAAGGCCCATTTCCACCAACGTAGATTAAACTTTAATCTCGGTTCAACTTACTCTTCGTCTTTTTCTAATCTTTAGAACTAGAAAAAGACGAAGAGTAAATTGAGAGAATCGAGATTAAAATTAATCTACATTGGTGGAAACGGGCATAAGAGTAAGGAACTGATAATATAATACAAAAATTTTATGATTTATTAGTTTCGTAAACATGTATATTCCGAAAAGGCCACGTTTTTTTTTTAAAAGTAGACATCTCAAGCAACAATTTAAGTCCTAAACGAATCCCATAGGCCCCTCTGAATTTTGGACAAAGAAGGTGGCCTTTTTGACAAAGAATGTTCCATAATAAAAAATCATGAATTTAATAATGTATTTAGTATTATCAAAATATTTGTGCTAATAATAGCAAACTTTTTATTAATTGTCGATAATGTCACCGTTCTTTAATTATTCCCGTATTAATATAGTCACGAAAATTTGTCCAGGATATGTCGTTTTTAATAGTATCTCATCGGTGCTTTATTAACACTGGCCATTTATAGGCAACTTTGTACAGATGAAATAATATGTTACAACAAATATGAAGACATTGTCTAATTTGAGACAAACTCTCACTAGACTTTACAATAAAAATCGCTGCTCGACAAACTGTCGCTCTGGGGTTGCCCATTCCATTCTTAAATTCCTTTGTATCTTAAATTATTGCAGATGAGCGTAAGATACGTTGTAATCAAAGTGCCAGATATTCAAACACAAAAAAATAGTGTCCAATTTTAAATTCCGAGCCGATTCTTTTTATTAATTTAATATACGAGGGTAGATTGAAAAGTTTTCTACCTAAGGAAAAAATTTTTTTTTTAACAAATGTAAATTTCTCAACATAATCTCCCTTCAACTCAATACACTTGATCCAACGTTTTTCTAGACCTTTCATTCCTTCAATATAACTTTTGTCTAAACTCGAAAAATAGTCATTAATAGCATTTATCATTTCAGCATTCAACGAAAATTTCTTCCCAGCTATAACTATTTTTTTAATTTGGAAACAGAAAAAAGTCGCGCGAAGAGTGCATGTATATGGTGGATGTATATAATTTGTACTTTAGTTCATAATTTCGCCATCGCAACTGCTGATCAACAGTGCGCAAATGCGCGCACGCGCGCTGTTACGGACGAGAAGTACGCACTATAAAATTATGAAGTATTGAAAAAAAGAAGTAAACTATTAGGAAGTTTTTATAATACCGTATATCTAGACACAGTGAATACTGAAGTATGGTATGCGATCTTTATGATAATCAATATCTCAGTAACTATTGCAAAAATTGCAAAATAGTAGAGAACCTTTCGATTCAGTTTAGTCTGCTCTATATCTATGAACGGTATTATACCTACCATTAAACACTGTATATGAAAAACGATGCACTGTGCCATACGTGAATAAATTATTTCGAAAGGATTATTGTACAAAAAAAAATACATGTGCTATACAGTCTGATTTATTTTTCTAATTATTTTATATTATATTTCTGGAGACACGGCAGTGTCTCGTTTCTTTATACAATATACTAAACAATTACATTTACAGTTCAAGAAGTATTATCATTTATCATAAAAATAGAGATACATACAAAATATGGAGTACGTCACATTAAAGCTAATATACAAGTTAAAAGTTTTATTTCACTACGATGAGATATGAAAAACATGAGCATAATACGTTATAATAAATATCCTCTAATATAAATGAATATGTGAATTATATATTGCGCGCTCATCTATTTATACGGGTGTCTTAAATTTTTTGACACACCGCTTGTGGGTAGGTAGAGCGGACTACAAATACTGAGTCGAAAAATCCTCTAACATTTTGCGATTACGATCAGTTTCCGTTCTATCTGCCCACAAGCGATGTGTCAAAAAGTTTGGGATATCCTATATAGAAAAGGCTGTAAAGGATCTAATCATAAAGATAGTATATACAGAAGGTTCCATTTTAATTAATCCAGTCGAGCTTATTCAAAATTGATGTAAAAAAAGTTTTTAGATAAAAGTGAAACGGTTTCATGAGAGACGTATCTTGGTCAGTTTTTTTTCTAAGTAAAGGCATAAAAAAAATATGAAGGTCACCTTCACACACTTTTAAAAATCAAATTATATAATTTTTCTCACATATGATTTCTCTAATTAGTCTATATATAAAAAACATTGAGCTAGAGATATCAAGAAATAAATAGTTTGAGTTTTTTGTGCTTTTTTGGTATATTTTAACGTGAAGTATAAAATATTTGTAATTATTCATTTTTTTATTACTGTACCTTAATAGTTTTATGCGTCAATAAGATAATTGAGATAAAGAGAAGTTTTTTTTTTTAATTATGCAATATGCATTTTTTTACAAGTGATAATGTATTTTCTTTACTTGTTTGATTCGTGTCATTATTGTACATGAAAGTATAGAGTTACAATTAGCAAAAAATTGATAATTTACAAAATATTTTATATTTGATATCAAAATTTGCGGGAATAAAATATGAAATATCTCGTAAACCATTAATTTTTCTATTTCTCTACTTTAGTATACTTGTATACAGAATAATTAAAAGAATCATATTACTTGAAATAAATTATATAATTTAGTTTTAAATTTAAAAAAGGGGAAATTATCTTCATATCTTTCTGGTACTTCTACCTAAAAAAAGAACGTGTCCTCTCCGAAATTCTACTTTCATCTAAAACACATTTTATATCAATACTTTCGAAGAAAACTGACTGAATTGATAAAATGGATATCTTGTATATGTATATAGGGTATATGGTGTTTCATTTTAAGTGATACCATGATGTAAGAATACAAGGTGTTTCATTGTGTATAATAGCGGCAAAAAATTGATTTTAACCCTTTTCAACTATATTTTTTTTATCTAAAACATTAAAAAAAAATGGTTTTCTTTGAAGATCGACTGTGTATCACTTTAAATAAAACACTGTATACCATCCATAGTGCATACATTTGTTCTTATTTCAAGTCTATTAATCTCACAATCTTACTAATCTACACAAAAAAAAGACATTTGTTTATTAAAAATTGATATTTGCAAGTGTTTGAAATAAAAATACGGGGTTTAAACATAAGGGTTAAATAACAAGGGATTATCCCTTAATTATTAAATATTGTTTGTAATTTAATCATAATTACCCTTTCATAGCCAAGATATCACAGAGTATCTCATATTATCGACAAAAGCTTCTTGCTTTTTGTATGTAGTACTAAAATAATTCATATCTTCTTTAGAAAACTATATACGTTCTTTTAATTTTTCAGTTATATTTCTCTTTTTAAAAATAAGTTAACGTCAAAATACTAGACATCTGACATTTTATACGTAGCGATTTACTATACAAAAATAATTTCATCCTACATTGAAAAAATAGTTGATTATCCAATCATTAATCGTAATTGCTTTTTAAAATCATATTGTTATACATTTGGGATTGATCGCCAATTTTTCAAGCGAAAGAATTATTACACACGACTATTTATTTTTAACTGATTCTCCGTCGTCTGTTTTAGT